AAAATCTGACTGTATATTAAAATTTTTTAAAAAATGCATATTTGTTTATGTAAAAAAACAACCAGCAACAACAACAACAAAAAAACACATCAACCTAAGCACCTTGGGAACAGAGAGAGCAAATGTGTGCAAACAAAGTGGTACTAATAAAAATAGTCATGTTCTGTGTCCTTTGGGGACAGGAGTTTATTATTTTTAATAAAGTTTTCCCATATAGGTACCATAGTACTTTGGCAGTTTATAAGGTGTGTGTGAATTGCCAGCAAGATAAATGATATACTTTCCCATAAACACCAGTCAAGGTGGTGATATCTTTTCTTTATCGTGATGTATACATCATGAAGCTTTATAGTATTTGACTGAAGATACGTTGTTTAAAAAGTCATCACCTATCTTACTTCTTCTTGCCTCAGTAATACTGTAAATTATAGCACGTAATTTTTATAAATTATTAAGTGTTTATGGTTTGTTGTGAGATAAAATTCCGTGAGAGTACAGTAGTCTGTTTTCTTTAGCCTCAATACAAAGAGTAATAACTTTAAAGTTTTCTTAAAGGTACATTGAATGTGCTGGTGTATATAATAATAAATGTTATATCAATTCCTTGAATATATCTTTTGATATTTACATTTAAAAAGGATTTAAAAGTGTACATTCACAACTTGAAAGTCTGTGATGATGCATAGCTATTATATGACTAAACTGGGATTAAAATATTTTAAAGAAAATATAACACATTATTTTACCTTTACTTTGCATAGTCATCACCTGCCTTATATTCTGATCATTTACAACTTTTCTCAGTTAAAAATGAACTACCTTTATGATTTTTTTTCTCCTGGGTTCTATTTCTTTTATCTTTTTTATTAACATATTATTTATATACACTTATGAATGTTTCACATGGAAACAATGTAGTTACTGCATTCACCCATATTATCAAGTCCCCACCCATAACCCATTGCAGGCACTGCCCATCAGTGTAGTAGATGCCACAGAGTCACCATTGGCCTTCTCTGTGCTGCACTGTCGTCCTCCCTGTGTGCCCTTGTGATTTCATGCTGTAATTCTTCCACATCATCTGTGCACTGACAAACACATACAATCTAAGAGCATCTATTACATACATCTATTACAGTTTTAAAATATGATTCACTTATCTGCAAAACAAAATACATATATTTTTGGGATTTTTGTGGTATCCTTTGTATAATTGACTATTTTTCTTCAAAGGGAAGAAAGAAGCAATTGAAAGTTCTGGCAAGGAGACGATTACAGATATAGAAAAGGGGCAAGAAAAGAACAACCATAAAAGTTTAACTTCAAGCTAATGTACATTTTTTCTTTGGAGGAAATTAAACTGGGGTGCTTATCATGAAAATTATTATCATTAACAATTAATTTTAACTCTGTATCTATTGTAAAAGGGACAAAACTAAATTATAGGAAAGCACCCCACAGATGAGTTTTGCTACTTTGCAGCAAACATAAAATCACTTCTATAATTAGGGAATGAAACCTACTTTAAATTATGTTTGCATCTATTAACTTTTTAACATTCAAAGTATATGACCAGTTCCATATGTATGTTTATGCACATATATATGAATAGATATTGCTTTTTCCTTGTTAATATAAATTAACATTAGATACTATAATTAAATTTATTGCTTCTTCTAGCAAAAACATTTGCATAATTTTTATATTTGAAATTCAGTTTCGATCACATTTGATATGAGGTGGTGTCCCTGAATGACATGATTCAAATCTTTGTGTTTCGATTCCGAGTTCATTGCTCTTTCTACCCTATCTTAGTGCTTCCTGATAAATCTCTTAATTTTAAATCCAACAATATACACACTGAAATATTAGTGCGCTTTGCCAAATCTAGATTATACCATATGAAAGGGACTTATTTAATTGGATGTTTTGTCACTTATATCACATTTACTCACTTTCTGTGCTAAATGTAGACATAGATGAACATTCCCGAAGAGTGATTGAGTTCAGAATAATATCTACACCATTCTTCTGCACAGAGAAGTGACTCCAAAACACATTCCTCAAAGCCAGAGGCACTCTTATTACATAATTTTCTTCATTCAATTACATGTCATTCATAAACATTGCCAGCTATCATTCACTGTGAATAGAAATAACTGACTTAAGCATTTAAAAAATTATAAATATGCAGTTTTCTTTCAAACTGTGTGTACACATGCACAAAAATTATATATATTTTATGATACAGGTATATAGATATATGTATATCTATTTTTAATAAACTTCAGTTTTATTAATCATAATCTAGCCATCTCTGTCAGAATAAGGGACAGTGAACTTGAAAACACCAGGAAACATTCATAAATAACACTAGGATTATCTAGAGAGCTGCTAGCCACCGAGGATTTTAAACCAGAGATCAATTCATTGCTTTGGGACATTTAGAGTCCTGGAAAATTAGAAATGGGAACGACTGTAGAAATAAGCCAGTCTTAGGATGGCAGTAACTGGAACATTGAGTGCCGTCTGAACCTGACTGGGACTTGCTGACTGAACCCTTGTGTAAGGATAGGAATATCTGAAGCATGTGATTATCTGTCAGCCTGTCTTCCACAGGTGAGGGGTGGACACTGGTAGCATACTTGCTGAGAGTGTAAATCCTGTGCCCACAATTGCACAGATAGTTAACTTGAATCCATGGCTATAAACAGGACATCTGACTCATAATCCAGTGCTATTTTCTTTGCTCTGTTGATAAGGTAGAAATATACCCAGCAGGCTTTCTGAGAGTATTTTCAGATATTCAGGAGACTTCATTGAGAGCATGAAGAAGCGATGTGCATAGTATGGTGGCTTCTCTGAATTGATGCCCTTGTGGGTTAATTTACTGGGACTTTCATAATTTTCAAGGCAGAGTTTATTGAAGGTTATTCTGAAGCATAACTAGGTACCTTTCTTTATTAATTATATTTACATATTTTATGCTTTGTCTTTTCTTAGAATTCTGAAGCAGATGATATCTATTCTCCAACAAGCTAAATAATCAGATTTCTGTAAATTAAATATATTATCATCTATGTTCAAGGAAAAACCCTTTACCTGGAATGTAAAATGTACATTAAAATGCACACATATTCATTCCAATGTGTAATATTTATCTACTAAAATTTTTGACATTAAATTTAAAAAATAACTTCAAATAGAGGGCTGAAACAGCTTGACAACTTCCAGACCATCACGAATGCTCGTTTCTTCCATTCCTCCCCACCTTTTTATAAAATCTTGTCTAGCTGATTAATATAACAGAGCACTTCAGCTTTGGTGAAATACACTTATTCAATTTCACTGAAGATTATAGGTTTCAAATAAAATTGGATTTTATTGAGGATTGAAGTGTGTAAATAGAACATTTGATTGAATTTAATAAAATGGTATCCTGCTGATGGAGGCAAGTCATTTCCTCTGGTTTTAACTTGATTACAAAGACAAGAAGTTTTATGAGCTATTTTGAATGGAAAATTTCTTTCTGTCTAGAGAAAAAGACTACATTGATACTACGAAAAATAAGTAGTAACATTTACTATTTTAAATACAATAGTTGTGAATGTATGGTTACTTTTGAAATTTAATAGAACTATTTTTGAATCTATATCGGTGGCTATTTGATCACTAGAGTAAACGTGAATGCTGTAAAGAGGTTAAGTCTGGTACATCTTTGTTTCTCTAGCTTTGAAAGATCTTTATCTTGTTAACCATTCTTCATCCGATATGTGCTGCTGTGTCTGTAATCAAACACGATGAGATCACAGCGGCACTCCCTTTGTTACAGAATGAATCAATACAGAGTACCTAAGGTTATTTAAATGTTTGATTTTCTTTAGTCAATTGTGAAGTTTCATAAAATGACACACACAACAAATTTTTGCTATTTTCTAACAAAAAGATATTTGTGAAGTCTGGATGATTTGTAGTAACTTTCAGAAGACCCTAATCCCATATAAAATTACTGCCTAGAAAAATCATGTCTATTGATGAGAAATATCATATTTTCTTTTCCTTCTTTTGTAATTTAATTTTTATTTTTTTTATTGACGTAGAGTTGATGCACAATATTATATTGGTTTAAAGTATACAATACAGTGATTCAACACTAACAGACATTAAACCCTCACCCCAACCAGTGCAATGACTATCTGTCAACACAGAAAGATGTTACAGACCATTGACTATATTCTCCATGCTGCAGTTCCGTCCCTGTAACCAGCTTACATGATGATTGAGAGTTTGAGCCTCTTTATCCCCCTCACCCATCCCACCCACCCGAACCCCTCCCCCATGGTAACCACCAGTCCTTTCTCAGTATCTAGGTGTCTACTGCTGTTTTGTTCATTTGTTTTGTTTTTAGAGTCCACATGTAAGTGAAACCATATGGTATTTGGTTTTTTCTTCATCGTTTATTGAACTTAGCATAATACACTGTAAATCCATCCATGTTGTCCCAAATGGCAAGATTTCTTTCTTTTTTATGGCTGAATAATATTCCATTGTGTCTGTTTACCGTATCTTTTTTTTTTACCTGTAAAGGGTTGTTTTTATTATGTAACATAGGCAACATAAGTCAATAAATTTTTTAAGAACTTAGTATGGCGTGGTTCCTTCCACTGCCAATTGCCTTTGCTTCTCTAAAGTGAGGCATGATCTTCAATAAAAATAGTCCTTTTAAAATCAACTTTTGTTCCATCCAGTTATTATTAGTCAGTCCAACTTTCCTTTAGCTCAGCTTCTTTGCTCTCGATGAACATGGACATACTTCAAAAACTCCCCACCTGTAATCTGAGTTCCATTTCTTCAAGCAATTTACACTGGGGCCCTAGAAGTTAAATTGTGGGAAGTAAATTGCTATTTTGGCTAATGACCCACAACATAATACATAGATATTCTCTAGTCATATCTATCACTCCTGTTACAGCCAGTTTTTACTCATGAGCCTAACAAAAAAATGTTACAGGTCTCATTGTCACCACTGCAATAAAACCACTGTGATGGAAGCACGACCTGCCTCTCAATGTAGCCACATTAACAATTTCTTGTACCATATCTTCTTTATCCATTCATTTGGGCACTTTGGTTGCTTCCATATCTTAACTATTATAGATAATGTAATGGTAAACATAGAGTGCATGTTTGTTTTGGATCCGAGTTTTCTCAGGTAAATTCCTAGGAGTGGAGTTACTGGGTCAAATAATTTTCAAGGCAGAGTTTATTGAAGGTTATTCTGAAGCATAACTAGGTACCTTTCTTTATTAATTATATTTACATATTTTATGCTTTGTCTTTTCTTAGAATTCTGAAGCAGATGATATCTATTCTCCAACAAGCTAAATAATCAGATTTCTGTAAATTAAATATATTATCATCTATGTTCAAGGAAAAACCCTTTACCTGGAATGTAAAATGTACATTAAAATGCACACATATTCATTCCAATGTGTAATATTTATCTACTAAAATTTTTGACATTAAATTTAAAAAATAACTTCAAATAGAGGGCTGAAACAGCTTGACAACTTCCAGACCATCACGAATGCTCGTTTCTTCCATTCCTCCCCACCTTTTTATAAAATCTTGTCTAGCTGATTAATATAACAGAGCACTTCAGCTTTGGTGAAATACACTTATTCAATTTCACTGAAGATTATAGGTTTCAAATAAAATTGGATTTTATTGAGGATTGAAGTGTGTAAATAGAACATTTGATTGAATTTAATAAAATGGTATCCTGCTGATGGAGGCAAGTCATTTCCTCTGGTTTTAACTTGATTACAAAGACAATAAGTTTTATGAGCTATTTTGAATGGAAAATTTCTTTCTGTCTAGAGAAAAAGACTACACTGATACTACGAAAAATAAGTAGTAACATTTACTATTTTAAATACAATAGTTGTGAATGTATGGTTACTTTTGAAATTTAATAGAACTATATTTGAATCTATATCGGTGGCTATTTGATCACTAGAGTAAACATGAATGCTGTAAAGAGGTTAAGTCTGGTACATCTTTGTTTCTCTAGCTTTGAAAGATCTTTATCTTGTTGACCATTCTTCATCCGATATGTGCTGCTGTGTCTGTAATCAAATACAATGAGATCACAGCGGCACTCCCTTTGTTACAGAATGAATCAATACAGAGTACCTAAGGTTATTTAAATGTTTGATTTTCTTTAGTCAATTGTGAAGTTTCATAAAATGACACACACAACAAATTTTTGCTATTTTCTAACAAAAAGATATTTGTGAAGTCTGGATGATTTGTAGTAACTTTCAGAAGACCCTAATCCCATATAAAATTACTGCCTAGAAAAATCATGTCTATTGATGAGAAATATCATATTTTCTTTTCCTTCTTTTGTAATTTAATTTTTATTTTTTTTATTGACGTAGAGTTGATGCACAATATTATATTGGTTTAAAGTATACAATACAGTGATTCAACACTAACAGACATTAAACCCTCACCCCAACCAGTGCAATGACTATCTGTCAACACAGAAAGATGTTACAGACCATTGACTATATTCTCCATGCTGCAGTTCCGTCCCTGTAACCAGCTTACATGATGATTGAGAGTTTGAGCCTCTTTATCCCCCTCACCCATCCCACCCCCCCGAACCCCTCCCCCATGGTAACCACCAGTCCTTTCTCAGTATCTAGGTGTCTACTGCTGTTTTGTTCATTTGTTTTGTTTTTAGAGTCCACATGTAAGTGAAACCATATGGTATTTAGTTTTTTCTTCATTGTTTATTGAACTTAGCATAATACACTGTAAATCCATCCATGTTGTCCCAAATGGCAAGATTTCTTTCTTTTTTATGGCTAATTAATAGTCCATTGTGTCTGTTTACCATATCTTTTTTTTAACCTGTAAAGGGTTGTTTTTATTATGTAACATAGGCAACATAAGTCAATAAATTTTTTAAGAACTTAGTATGGCGTGGTTCCTTCCACTGCCGATTGCCTTTGCTTCTCTAAAGTGAGGCATGATCTTCAATAAAAATAGTCCTTTTAAAATCAACTTTTGTTCCATCCAGTTATTGTTAGTCAGTCCAACTTTCCTTTAGCTCAGCTTCTTTGCTCTCGATGAACATGGACATACTTCAAAAACTCCCCGCCTGTAATCTGAGTTCCATTTCTTCAAGCAATTTACACTGGGGCCCTAGAAGTTAAATTGTGGGAAGTAAATTGCTATTTTGGCTAATGACCCACAACATAATACATAGATATTCTCTAGTCATATCTATCACTCCTGTTACAGCCAGTTTTTACTCATGAGCCTAGCAAAAAAATGTTACAGGTCTCATTGTCACCACTGCAATAAAACCACTGTGATGGAAGCACGACCTGCCTCTCAATGTAGCCACATTAACAATTTCTTGTACCATATCTTCTTTATCCATTCATTTGGGCACTTTGGTTGCTTCCATATCTTAGCTATTATAGATAATGTAATGGTAAACATAGAGTGCATGTTTGTTTTGGATCCGAGTTTTCTCAGGTAAATTCCTAGGAGTGGAGTTACTGGGTCAAATGGTATTTCTATTTTTAGTTTTTGCAGAACCTCCATACTGCTTCCCACAGCAGTTGTACCAATTTACATTCCCACTAGCAGTGTGGGAGGGTTCCCCTTTCTCTGTGCTCTGATCAGCATTTGTTGTTCCTTGTCTTTTGGATGTTGGCCATCCTAACTGGTGTGAGGTGATATCTTGTGGTTTTAATTTGTATTTCCCTAATAATTAGTGATGTGGAGCATCTTTACACGTGCCTGTTTGCCATCTGTGTTTCGTCTTTTGGAAAATTTCTATTCAGGTTTCTGACTATTTTTTAATCAGATTGTTTGTGTTTTTGGTGTTGTGTTATATGGGCTCTTTATGTATTTTGGATGTTAATCCCAGACAAATCATTTATGAATATAGTCTCCCATACTATGTTAATTAATTTTTTATTAAAGTTTTGATTGATTTCTCTGATGTTTTATATTTCAATATAATGAAATAAAATGTTATTTTACCAAAATTATCTTTTCTTAATGTCATAATTTTGTTTTATTAGACTGAAGAGCCAACTGAAAGTATCTTTGTGTTTTTTAATCATTTAATCACAGTAGAACTTTTGAAAGTTTGCTATGATATTTGAAAGCTAGAAGAAAGGCAGATTTACCGTCAGGCATCATTATAAATGTAGAATGAGTATTAAGAAATGCCAGAATTGCAGATATTATGTTGTCTGAGGATTGATAATAAATGGTTGCAGAATGTGAGGAATTTTAATGTGGCCTAAAAGAGTGCCTTGGGTTGATTCAGAATTATTATCTCTCAGCAGTTGATTCCAAGTATCTGCAAGGGAAATGTACAATATGAGTGTAATAGTTCTGTTCAATTATTTAGCAGTGCTTTCAAAGAAAAAGATAAGCAGTTGATGAAAGGACATTACATTACAGGAAAAATTCTTTATGTTGATAATGATCATGTGTTGTGTTCGATGCTTTGGGGACAGGTACATTGTACAGGAAAAGAGTAAGGTTATTAGAGAGGGAACTTGGTGAGAAGATAAAAATAACAACAGCGGGGCAGTACGACCCCTCACTGAACGGGAAAAACAGTTTAGCAGCTGGAAAGATGCCGCAGAAGAACATCAACACTCTCTGGGCAAAGTCCTGCGCGCCGACCCTGCCCTCATGCAGAGCCGCCCGAGTATCGAGGTCAGATCACTACCTGAAAGCAGGAGACGTGTAACATCCAAGGAAGGATGGTTTGGTGCTGTGCCTGAGACGGAAGGAAGGACGACCTGTAGTTAGAAAACAGGTGGAAGTTAAAGCTTCAAAAGGTTCAAAAATAGACCCCTGTATCAGACAGATCAAATACATTAGCTATTTGTGTTTGTGGAAACGTCCAGATCCATTTTTAACAGGTGTGAACTCTGAGAAGAACCGTACAGTAAAAATGAAAGAGCACCTGGAAACACTTCGCCCAGACATAGATGGGTAAGTATGTAGGGCGGGAGTCTGGGAAAGGCTGGGTGAGTGTATCCAAGTGTCTAGACAGACACATGAATGGCGATGGTACATATGAGTTTTTCACATTGCACAGCCTTCCATTAGAAAGACAGCTCTAACGGACCATGGGTGGCATTTGTTGATTTAAAAATACATAGAAAAAAATCACTATGTTATTAAAATCACTATATTATATGTTAATATAAAAGTGTCTGTTACTGAATGCCTAATCTGTCCCTTGTTTCCTCTTTAACTAGCTGTCCTTTAGTTGTCCACGGTCGCAAATATATCATTACTTAAACTCACTTCCCTGAAGTACTGTCATTTGATCATTAGAAAAAATATATATAATAACAAAAATATTAGTTATAATAGGAATTTGTCAGTATTCACAAGATCAACACACCATTCTGTAGTGTCTTTCTAGTTCTGAAAATTACTCGAAGAAACACATTATTTTGCTTTTCAAAATAATTTTAACACAAATAGTTCCCAAGCCATGTCTGGTATGAGCATCACTTTTCTTCAGTGTGAAAATAAAATGACCATACAACTATTAAAACATCCATATTACCAGGTAGCATATTTATATGAAATGCAGAATTGACCTGTGGATCTCATTACCTGTAGGAAGATTAAAATCTTTGCTGAATGATAAAGGCAGAAAACAGAAGCTGAATAATGAAAATACAATAAATCAGTTGCGAAAAACAAATGAAACTCAACCTGACCATTGAAGCAGGTCTCATTTTCATTCTCACTATTGAGTTTTATAAATAAGAATCTCAAAAAGTATTCATCCTCCTCTGATGAAAGCATTGTTGGTTTTTATTTGTCCGCAAAGATGTCTTATATAGGAAACAAAGGGCCTGTCTTTTCCCCCTAACATTTCTTTTCAAAGTCAGACAGACAGCAACCTCTTTTCTTACATGTTTTTCTTAGTTGGTATTCCATGTCTGCACATAAGGTACCAAATAAAACATGATTCCTATATTGTTTTATAGCCTAAACACTGAAGGAAAATAACTTTGAAAAATATAAATGTACCCTATGTATATAGTAGTAATGCTAGTA